AGCTGGAATGGTCCTTGGAGTCAAGGATTCTGAAGCTTCATCTGACATACTTCGGGCATGTTGCAAAGAGGGATTGGTCCTTGGAGAGGGATATCATGTTTGGGAGAGTAGAGGGACAGCATAGGAGAGGAAGACCCTCGATGAGATGGACCATTTCTGTGATTGTGGTGGTGGAATTGAGTGTGTCATAGACAGTGAGGTTGGTACAGGATAGAGCAGGGTTTAGGGCTCGTGTACATAGGGTCACTATGAGTCACAAACAACTCGGCGGCACATAACAACAACAACAATCTGTCATTGAAGTTGAAGTGATATCCTTGCAAAATTGTTTAATTGCAAGATGAAAAGTATGTTATATGGTATGGAGAAACCCCAAGAAAAGATGGCATTCTGGTGGGCTTTTCTTTTTGTAAGCATTAAGTCCTTATACCATTATTTAAATATTGAGGTTTTATTCAAGTAAAAATAATCTCTTTGCTACAGTGAAATTTTTATTTTTTGTTTTAGATGCTGAACATCCTGTAAGTCAAGGTAAACCTACTTTTATCATATAAAGTTAATATTATGCTATTTAAAATGAGATCAAGTGCTGTAGATTTTCTATTCTATGTACAGTATTGAAATAATATACTTTTTCCTTTTGCACAAATAATTTTTTTTTTTTTTTTGCTGAGGTACACTTTTTTCTGTTTGATTTTTTTCAGGCCTTGAACCTGAGGGACAAGGTAAAACTTATATAAAATTATTGGGATACTGCAGAATTGAAACACAACTAAGGTACTATTGTTTTCTTATATTTTTGTGTAAATATTTACTTAGTGTGATCCAAAATTCTCGCGATGTTACAGAATTGAAACACAACTAAGGTACTTTTGTTCCTAGAGTTGCTATGAATCGCGCTTGACTCGATGGCGATCAACAACAGACCATTAGAGCACCGGCATCACCATGATGAATCAAAATCTAGTTCATCAGAGTCTTGGTTGCTCCCTGTGCCTAGTTTCCGTTGACTTTTTTTTTTTTTTATTTCAATGAACATTTACAAAGATTTTGGATTTCCATTCATTCATTGTGCACTTTTCTCCCTGCCCACCCCACTCCCACCCCCAGTTCGCTCTTCTTCTTGGAAAGCAAATTGGTATACAATACCCCCACAGCCCCACACCCCCACACCCCCATCCCAAGAATACTCAACTCTGCAACCCTCATTCCGAACTCTTATGATAATGATGATGATAATGTCCTAAAATATATTACTTTTAAACTGTTCTCTCCCTCATTGGCTTCAATGCAGTATACATAACGATTTAGAACAAGTTCAAGGCTGTTTTTTAGAGTAGGGCTTTTTGCTCCTTAGGGTTTTTAAAGCTGTGGCCTTGCATAAGAAGTTCTCCAGGCTTTTCTTCCGAAGCACCTGTGGTTAGACTTGAACTTCCAAGATTTCTGTTAGTAATGGAGTGCCTAGCCCGTGTGGCAGGAAGGAATGCCAAGACATTGTGAGATTTCCCTTCTCTGGGCCTTTTAATTTTGCCTGCTCTACAATGCAGAAATCAGTCCTCATGAACCTCATTATTCTCATGTACCAGACTCCTCCAGTTTGTGCCCAGATAGGTAGTTTATTGTGAGTCTTCTCAATAGCATAATGGTAGAAAGGAAAGAAGTTGATGGGCTCTGGCAATTTTGTACAATTCTTTTTTGAAAGAAAGGGCTTTTTATTGGTTTGCATACAGTAATTTGTTTACATTATGTTTCATTCATGTGTATTGGTTTTGGAGAGGGGTTTTTTCCACTCTCTCCCTTCACCCATGAAACTTGTACAGTTTTTTAAAAGAAAAGACAAACTTAATACAGAAAAGCATTATCAAGTTTACAAACATTTAAACTCTTTGCTTTATTACAGAAGCAGTGGGAACTGTACTAGCTGATATGAATGCAGGTAAGTTAAATATATCTCTTTACTGATGTTAGTTAACTCGTAGTATTCCATCCTGTGAATGTACCATAATTTCTCAATCCATTAGATTGTGGTTGGACATTTGAGCTGTTTCCATGTTCTTAGAATGGTGAATAAAACTGCTGTGAACATTGGTGTACACGTCTCTGTGCCTCAGCTCTCATTTTCTCTGGATATATTCCAAGCAGTGGAAACCTGGATCCTGGCTGAAAGTAAGAAATACCAGAAGAATGCCTGTTTGTGCTTTACTGACTATGCAAAAGCATTTGACTGTGTGGATCATGACCAGTTGTGGCTGACATTAAGAAGAAGAATGGGACTCCCAGAGTACTTGATTGTGCTCATGTGGAACCTATATCTGGACCAGGAGGTTGTTGTGTGAATGGAGCAGGGGAACACCACATGGTTTGGAACTGGAAAGGAAGTGCACCAGAGTTGTACTCTTTTCTGCTTATCTGTTCAACCTATATGCTGAGCAAATTATCTGAGAAACTGAACTCTATGAAGATGTTATGTTTAGATGGTAAAAATCACCATTAGATAATCTTTTAACTCTATTATGAAAAATACAAACATCCAAGGGCCCCAGTTGAAACTTTCAATCCTTCCAAAAAATCCATCAATGTTCCTCATCGCTCCTTAATCTAAGTCCTTCTGAGTTGACATTATCAACAAGTAAGATGCCTAGGGGATGAGCTTCTTTAAAAAAAAATGGAGAAATGCTTTTTAAAACTGAGTTGTTTGGTATGGCCAGTTTGAAGTGAAAACAACATTCTACTGCTAAATAAAGTTTTTCTCTGTTGGTCACACACTTTGCTAAGACAGTTTTGTAAAAATCAACTGGATTTCAAATATCACCCATGGAATAACTTTTAAACAGAAAAGTACTTGATCTGTCCTTTCACAATACTTTTATTCATTATAAGAGAAGGCCTGTGTCTTGAGAAATTAGTAGCTGGTCAAAGTTATTAGACCAGACAGACATGCATTAAATCCTGACTCAGTTGTCAGTTTTTTATCTCTGCGTTACTTAACCTCAAATAAATTGAGAATGAAGAAATAACATGTTGGGACCTCCGGGTAGTTAGTTGCTGCTATTTTAGGAGGATCTGGCTGCACTTAAAGTAAAATGAGATTCCATTGTATTTACCAGGTCCTCACGTTATTTAACAGTTGTTTGGAATTTTGCTTTGATTAAATCTGACAATAAGTTAATAATTTTGAGCCCACAGATGTAGATATTAATCCTCAACAAAGATCCACTGTTTTTCTACTCAAGAAAGCATTAATGTTCAAATATTACCCAAGATGATGGCACTATCCAAGTTCTCAATGGATCATTCATCTCCTCTTCAAATTCAAACAGAAATTTAAGACATTCTACTCTTCCCTAAAGTCATTTCTTAGAATGAATGGATGTAAAACAACAACAACAAAACCCAGGACACTTTTATCTATTTATTCACAAACTTCTTCTCTTCTTCTCATATGCCCAAAATGATTGATATTGATATCTCATTTTCTTTCTCCTGTGGGACTCCATGGGTATTACCAAGAAAACAAATTTGCAAAAAACACTGGTGGCATGATGAAGTACTTAAAGAGAATAAAGAGAGTGTCTGAAGCATTTACTTTCTTCCTTTGTCATGTATCACAGAGGACAGGAATGAAGTCACAGGCTACGGACTGAAAAGCACTTCCTGACCCACCAGCTGATGTGGGATTACCCAGAGGTCGCTGGTTCAACACCTCCCAGGCTTGAAATGATCATGAAATAAGATAAACTCCGGAGAAGCAACTTAGCATGGAGCCTGATACATAGAAAGTACTGAAAGTAGTTTCATAAACATTGTAGTCTCTACAAAAGAAAAACTCAGAGGGTGAGAAGTCACATTTCTCCACGTCAGCGTACTCTGATGATTTCAGGAGGTGGCCCTACAGTGTAATAATGCCTGTTCAGACATGCACGCTCTCATTAGCTAAAGCTTGGAAGGTGTTCAACTCCTCAGCCAGCCTCTTTCTGCCACTTGTTCACCTTTAGTCAGAGATTCAGAGGTTCTAGTCAAACTTAATACAAAGAAAAAATGTTTTTAGATTAATAATACAGTTTGTTGCTGTCGTTGTTGTGTACCATAGAGTTGGAACTGACCCATAGCTGGTGGGTTTTCAGAGGCATTTGCCCATCCTCCCACAGAGCAGCTGGTGTATTCAAACTGTGTGCCTTCAAGATTACAGAGCAGCTTCAAAGAATATAGTTACGTTGTTATTAAGTGCTGGCAATTTACTTGCAACTCATAGGGACCCATTACAACAGCTCTGTAGTAATATTCAAAATAATTTGCTTAACCAGGCTGTTACTTGGAAGCAAGGATTTTCAAGCTCTGTCTGACATACTTTGGGCATGTTACCAGGAGAGACCAGTCCTTGGACAGGGATATTTTGCTTGGGAGGGTGGAGGGAAAGCACAGAAGAGGAAGACCCTGGATGAGGTGGATTGACTCAGTGGCTGGGGTAATGGGGGTAGGTGTATCAGACACAATAAGGTTGACTCAGGATAGAGCAGGGTTCAGAGCTGTGTTGGTCACTATGAGTCACAAGTGACTTGATGGAACATAATAACAACATATCATAATCATTTTTATTAGCTATGACTTTGTTCTGTTTTTAAAGATAACGAGGAATTTGCCTATCCATAAGGTAATAGGTTCAAAAGAATAATCATACCACCTCTTCTTTCTTGAAGAAAGAAAACGGATAAAAACACTTTTACCTCAGTTATCTTGTGGAGTTAGAAACAACACACATGCTCGGAGGAAACGAGTCGTGGGAGGCAAACCTGCACGAAAGGTAAATGTGATTGAAAAATGTACTTCCTAAGAAGACCTCAAGTGTGTGGGGTAGCGGGGTGAGTGGAAGCAGTTTCTAGGAGGTGATGTATTAACAAGGCATTTGAATCTAAGAATGAAAACATCTTAAGGAACCATCTGTAACATGTCTAGAAGCATGTAGTAACCAATTAAATGTCTTGTATAGGGGGACTTCCCATGGCAGGTGGCCATAAAGGACGGCGAAAATCTTAACTGTGGAGGAATTTATATTGGTGGCTGTTGGGTTTTGACTGCTGCACACTGTGTCAGGTAAAAACTTTCACCAGGAGATCTTGGATTTCACAAAGCAATGATAATAGATATAGATATGTAGATAATGTATATTAAATATAGGTGGATTATAGAGATAGACTGTGGCAAGTGATGAATCAAAGCATATCTGAGAAAAGTCATTGTGCAGATACATAAGTACTAAATCCTCTTAGATATCTCTGACTTTATCCCCAGATGCTTATCAACCTACTGGCTCCCCACAGAACAAACTTAGGTACCAAGTTATTCTACTCGGTGCATGTGTGTCATGGAAGAGTCAGTAGCTACCACCTCCATTTTCTAGAGCTTGTGCAAACTGCTTTTAGAGTTTATGACTGAAGAGTTTGTGAAGATATCATATGAATTGTCTATAGTCTCACCTCAACAAAATTACTTTCTAAGGAGCTGAATGCATCCAGACACTCCAGACACGCAGCTCCTTTTCCCCATTCAGGTGCCCTTCTCCATATGTGATGTGTTGTCTTAGTCATCTAATGCTGCTCCACCAGAGAGGCCACAAGCAGAAGGTGCCAACAAACAGAAATGTATACTCTTACCATTTACAAAGCTAGAAGTTCAGACTTAGGAGGCCAGCTTAGGGGCAAGTTTCTCTCTCTGTTAGTTCTGGAGGAAGTTTCTTATTTCCTTCAACATCTGTAGCCCAGCATTCCTTCGTGATCTCCATTTGTCCTGATGTTCCCTGGGTCAAGGTCAAGGAGCTCCGAGCACAGAAACAAGGACCCTAAGGTTACACGCAGTTCCAAGATCTTGGGATACTGAGGCCTTCTCTTCTGTTTATTTTCTCCACTTCTACCTCTTGCGAGATAAATGGTGTTACAGGCCACACCCTAAGGAAGCTCCCCTGATCAGAGCTGTGATGGGATTAGGGATGTATCATCCCACCCTTAGTCCCTTTACAATTGCATCATTTTCACTGACACAAACTCACTGATTTGGTTCTAACTCATAGCATTCAGATTTCCAAGGCTGTAAATCATAATGGGATTGCCCGTCGCTTTTTGTTGTTTTTGTTTTTTTTCTCCAAGTCGTTAATGGTGGACCCAAACCTCTGGCGACTGGAGACTCATCGTCTTTTGAGTTGGCAAGGAAACTACCTACTGGCTAGGTCACTAGAGGTCTTCATTATATCACTACATATATACGTGTGTGGGGACACAGCTCATGACGTGTGTATTTTAAGCAATAAAAACTGATGAACGCTCGTTAATTCACAAGGCTAATCAACTGCAGCCCTTTCTTTTTTTTTAATTATATTTTATTAATTTTCATAAACATTTACAGAGATTTTGGGCTTCCACTCATTCATTGTTGCACTATTCTCTCTACCCTCCTCCCAGTTTGTTCTTGTCCAAATGCCACAGTGCTTGTCAAAGCCAGTTCTGATTAATCTTCTTTGTCAGTGTATCCTTTGCCATTCCCTATCACTCCTCCCTGAGAGAGACTTCACCCTGAGTCATAAGGAAAAGGGGACGGCGTATTCTCTTAGCTACTTCCTGCTGAAAAGGAACGCTGTGGGTTTCAGGGTGAAGATCTTCTCTCACTACTCTAAAGGGCCCCTTCGGCAGTAGGAAACACATAGACTATTATGGAGATTGATTTTGGAATTCAGATGCACTCTTATTGATTGTGCTTGGCTGTACATGTTCATATCCTTCAAGATGTATCACGGGGGTGTTGCAACCTAGAAGACACAAATTTGACTAACAAGTTATAAGTACATGAGTCCAAAAATTATGGAAAAGTAAAAGAAAAGATTCTTTCATTGTTTTACAAACCCTCCCCCAGGTCCCCTCCACCATGCAGCCCTCGCTCTAGTCTCCTGTGATGACAGAAATACCCAGTTACATCTCTCTTTTAGACGGTTCTCTCCCTCCTCTGCTTCAGTGCAGTATACATTATTGAACCCATCTTACTCAGTGTCTCCCTAACCCCAAGGACAGTCCCATTCTACAACAGTGGCATCATGTAATATTTGTCCTTTTGTGACTGGGATATTTCACTCAGCATAATGTTCTCCAGAGTCAACCATTTTGAATAATATTGCATGAGTTCCTTGTTTTTTAATGCAGCATAGTATTCCATTGTGCGAATATACCACAGCTTCTCTAGCCATTCGTTTGTTGATGGGCACTTAGGTTGTTTCCAACTCCTTGCTATTGTGAACAAAGCTGCAATGAACATGGGTGTGCATATATCAACTGCAGCCCTTTCTAACCTGCTCTGTGATTCTACTTGAATTGCTTGCATGGGATAGGTCAGTCATTCGGGGACAGGACCATTGCATTGCATCAGCAATGATATTCCTTGTACCATGGTCTCTTTGGAAGCTCTCCAGGCTGCAGCAGGTGCTGACTGCATGGATCACTGGAGGATTAGTCTGCTCAGGAGTTGGAGGGGCCTTAACTGCTGCAGAACAGCTCATGTGATTTTCTTCTTTGACAGAGTTTTTGAAGTTCTTAGGTCAGAGAAGTAGAGTAGGTATATTCTTCTTTGAGGATGTCTTCTGGACAGATGGGAAATAAGAGTTTCTTGTATGACTGATAAGATTAGCTATGAGTGATTAGAGGATAGTACTCAGCACTGGTGGCAAGAAGCTGTGCTGTAGTCCCGAAGGCACGCAGTTTAGATCCCACCAGTTGCTCCACGGAAGAAGGATTGGCAATCTCCTCCTGTGCTATTAACTATCTCTGAAAACCCGCCGGAGGGTCAACTATGGGTCAGTTCTGACTCGAAGGTACACAACAACAGCAACAAGTCAAAGGGTGTTGACAAAGCCCAGGACTCTGACCTCTGGGATGAAGGACCATTACTGAGCACTTGTTACCAGTATGCCAGATACTTCCACATACAATATTTCCTCAACTATGCACAACAGGAAATCAAGAGACGACTTGCACTGGGAAAGTCAGCTGTGAGGGACCTCTCAAGAATACTGAAGAGCAATGACATCAGGCTGGAGACTAAGATGCACCTGATCTGGGCTATAGTCTTTGCAATTACATGCTATGCATCAGAGAGTTGGAGAGTGAATAGGGATGATAGAAAGAGAATTGATGCCTTTGAGCTGTGGTGCTGGAGAAGAGTGTTGAATATACAATTGACTGCTAGGAGAACAAACAGGTTTGTCCTGAAGAAGTGAAGCCAGAATGCTCCTTGCAGTCAAGGATTCTGAAGCTTTGTTTGACATACTTTGGGAATGTTGCAAGGAAGGACTGGTCCTTGGAGAGGGACATCATGTTTGGCAGAGTGGAAAGGCGGCACAGGAGAGGAAGACCTTCGATGAGATGGATCGATTCTGTGACTGGAGTGGTGGGAATAAGTGCGTTTGAGATGGCTAGGTTGGCACAGGATAGAACGGCATTTAGGGCTCTTGTACATAGGGTGGCTATGAGTCGCAAGCGACTAGATGACACATAACAACACAATAACAACAATGCACAACAGTCCTACTGAGTCAACACTCTTCTCATTTTAGATAAGCAGATAAAGTTACATGATGTGGCCCAAATCAAAGTACTAGTCAGTAGATGAACTAGGAGGATAAAATCATGGTCAGTGTATTTGACAGTAACTTAGAAAAAGGATGACTCAGAAAATCCCTAAAGCCAGGAGAAAATCAGGACAGCAAATATGTTAAACAAGTAACTACCTTAAATGACACTCACAGAGATCTCTACTGTGCCACTGAGTCAACTCTAACTCATGGTGCCCCTATGACCACTAGGTGAAAACCTCACAGAACCTGCACCAGAGCCCCACAATGTCCAGGTTCTCAAGCCCATTGTTGCACCCACTGTGTCTGTCAATCTCATTGAAGCTCCTCCTCTCCTTCACCGACCTTCTAGCTTTCCAGCATGATATTCTTTTTCAGGGACTGACCCCTCTTAACATCATGCCCAAAGTATGTGAGACCGAATTTCACTTTCATTACCTCTAAGGAGCACTCTGGTTGCACTTCTGAGACACAGATGGCCTTGTTCTTTTGATCATCAATGGTATAATCAATACTCTTCACCACCATCACAATTAAAATGCTTGGAGTCTTCTTTATTGCTCCTCATTTGTTGTCCAACTTGCAAATGCATATGAAGCCACTAGAAAATGCCATAACTTGAATCAGGCACACCTTAGTCTTTAAACTGACTTCCTTGCTCCTTATCACTTTAAAGAGGTCCTTGAATGCACCTTTCCCCAATGCAACCCATCTGTTTATTTCTTGATTGCTGCTTCCATGGGTGTTGCACTGGATCGGAGCCATGAACCAAGTATCTCTTGGCTCCTGTACCACAACATGCTCCTGCCTCTGGCCATAAACAACTCTGGTAATATAGTGGATAATGTCTTGGGCTGCTAACTGAAAAGTATGTAGTTCAAATCTACTAAGTACTCCATGGGAAGTCTCCTCCAGTAAAGATTTACAGCCTTAAAAACCCAAGCAAGAGTCACTGTAAGTCAGAACAAACTCAGTGGCAGTGGGGTGTCTGGTCAAACTCTGTCTGCCTTCTTTGCAAACTCTCCTCCTGGGCCCACATATTATTGCTCTTCTGAAATATTGGACCTCCTTAATTCTTACTTGGGCATCCTCTTCTCTAACTTTTTCTCCCTAAAGTTAACTGTTATTTCAAATACCACTGTATTATGGCAAAATTATATCTCCAACCTGAACTTCTATCAACACTTTGAACTGTATCAAAAGTACATCAAATTCAAAATGTCTAAGACAAATTCAGAAAGTCCTGTTCCAATGTTTCCTATCTCAGCAAATGACTATATCGTTTATCTACGCACACTAACCCACTACTATCAAGTTGAGTCTGACTCCGTGGACCTATAGGACAGAGTCAAAATGTCTAACAGAGTTTCTAAGGCTGTAAATTTTTATGGAAGCAGAGTTGTTCATTATTATCCCTCAGAGCAGCTGGTAGATTTGAACCACCAACTCTTGATAAGCAGCCAGATGCCCTAATCACAGTGCCACCAGAGTTTCTTTGATTTCCACCCTAGACCAGTAATATATCACTACTTCGAGGTGGGATTTCTAATTTCTTATTATTTAAATCTCAAAACTTCTCTCCATCTCCATAATTATTGACATTTACCTGGCACATGGAGTATAGTGATTGGCTCCTACTTGGCTTACCTCATTCACTCTGCCCAATCTCCTGCGCCTGCATACTTTCTCTACTGTGCAGCAAAAGTAATATTTCCTCATATAGTTTAATTCTTTATTGCTTTATATTCCTCATAGAACTAAAAACTAAGCAAAAATTTGGCCTGCCACTGAGGGATGCTATGGACTTGAATGATCCAGGGAGCATCCAAAGAAGATGGAAGGAATATACAGAGTCACTGTACCAAAAAGAATTGGCCAGGAGGGGACCAGTCCTTGGAGAAGGGTGGAGGGACAGAGCGGGAGAGGAAGACCCCAGATGAGATGGATTGATACAGTAACTAGGACAATGTCTGAGTCAGTGAGACTGACTCAGGACAGGGCAGACTTAAGAGCTGCTGTACATAGGGTCACTATGAGTCACAGGTGACTTGACAGCACAACAATAACAACAACAGTACTGGTTTTGTAACTGTCATCACATGGCTATGTTGAACTGGCACATAGATGAGCCTCCAACAGGTTTTCAAGGTCTGTAAATTGTGCAGGAGGAAATTTCCCATCTTTCTCCTGTGAAGCAGCTGGTGGATTTTAACTCTGTATCTTTGTGTTGGCAGTGAAACTCTCTACCACCAGTCCACGAGAGAGCTCCCTCGTGGCTCAATAATTGTGAGGTGCCATCAAGTCGAGCATGACTCATAGTGACCACATGAACAGCAGAACTGAACCCTGTCCTATCCTGTGCCATCCCCATCATCTCTGACATACCTGGACTCATTGCTTCAATCACTGTGTCAATCCATCTCCTTGAGGCTCTTCCTGTAAGGAGCATTCTGGTTCTACTTCCTCCAAGGCAAAGTTGTTTGTACATAAGAATAGACAATATTTTGCTCACTTATTATTTTTTTTAAAAACCAACCAATTTTTCACATCATTCTCTTCCAGGTTCAATACTAGGCACTGGGGCTACATAGATCACTATGACCTCATCCTCAACTTCAAGTCTAGCAGAAGAAGGGCTTTGAGTTAAAAAAGTTTTGCAATGTAGCTTAAGATGAAGCCAGTCTTTAAGAGTCAGGATAATTATTGTTACAGTCTGAAAGGCCTTCTAGAGTTGGAAGAATAACAAAAAAATTGCCTGATCCACTCCTATTCTAACACATCTCTGGAAAGATATTGTATGCACTCTGTATAAACACCTTCAGTTTGCGCTGACTCTAGAATTGGCAGGCTCCTTCTTCTGGACATCTTTTGCCATTAGGAAGTTATTTATGTTCCTAATATTGAGTGAATGGGATGCCCACTGTATTTCATTCTACCTTAATTAAGTAAATTCAATTTCCCAGTTTCATAACAAGAATAGAGAAATATGGGAAAGTGAGCAAGGTCTTATAAAAGGGGGAATATAAAAATGAAGTGTGAGAAATGTGTGCTTGTATCCCTCCCTCACTTTAATTGCTTTCCTTTTCCTTTACATTCCAGAGAGAGTAAAGCTCATCGGTACAAAATATGGACAACCTTACTAAGCTGGTTAAGACCTAATGATGACATAGTAATCCAGCACGTGAAGAGAGTTATTATCCATGAAAATTACAACACAGCCACCTATGAAAATGATATAGCTTTGATTGAAATGAAACCATTCCCAAACAGAAGAGAATGCGAGCTGGAAGGTTCTGTCCCCGCCTGTGTGCCCTGGTCTCCATATCTGTTCCAACCCAATGATAAATGCATCGTGTCTGGATGGGGTAGAGAAAAAGGTATGTGATTTTAAATTTCTCTTTCTCTTTTGTATTTGTAGTGAAAACAGATATACCAAAACATTTGCCTAAATAAGAATTTCTATTTCCAATGCAATGACTTTGACTGCGTTCCTTATGCTGTGAAGCCATTAGCATTATCCTATTCTAAAATTTTCCACCACTTTAACTTAATGCCCACTAGAGGGGGGAACTCTACCATGCCCCACCAGCACCACAAAAGAACCGGACCTGAGGATCTGCTTCCATAATGATTATAGTGAATTCTCCTCTATAGTCAATAAGGCTTGTTCAAAGGGACACCTAAATAAACAACATATAAGCAAGAAGCTGCGCTGCAATCCCCAAAGTATGTAGTTCAAGGCCACCAGCTGCTCTGCAGAAGAAGGATGGTCACTCTCCTTTCATGCAATTAACTTCCTCTGCAAGCCCACTAGAGGGTCAACTATGGGTCAGTTTTGACTCTACAGTAAACACAACAACAACAACAATAATCACTAGATACATAAATCTGAATTTATTTGAAACCATAAAATGGATAAGTTAGGTGTCACCGAGTCACCTACAACTCATAGTGACCCCATGAATAACAGATCTGAACCTTGTCCAATCCTGAGTTAACCTCACCATCTCTGATATGCTTGAGCCCACTATTACAATCACTAGGTCAGTCCATCTTGGGAAGGGTCTTCCAGTATTTCTCTGACTCTCCACTTTTACCGGCATGATGTCTTTTTCCTTGGAAAAAGACACTAGGATGACAAGAAACCAAGGAAAGGGGAAGAAATCAGGACATTAAGGAGCTGAACACAAGATTTCAAATGACAGCTTGAGGAGATGAAGGATATAATAAAATGTGCAAAGAGCTGGAGTTAGAAAATCAAGAGGGATGAACTCACTTGGCATTTCTTAAGCTGAAGGAATCAAAGAACAGATTCAGGTCTTGAGTTGCAATACTTAAAGATGGTATGGGAAGAATATTGAATGATTCAAGAAGAATCAAAAGAAGATGGAAGAAGTACAAAAAGTCATTGTAACAAAAATAATTGGCTGACAGAAGAGTTTCATGATATCATTTCACAGTAGATAATCAAAATGCAGTGGTGACGAAGGAGGAAATGCAAGGTGTTCTGAAGGAATTGGCAAAAAAAATAAAGCCTCAGGAATTGATGGAATACCAAATGACATATTTCAGCAAACAGCTGCTGCCCTGGATGCACTCACAAGGTTATGTCAAGAAATCTGGAGTAGGTAACTACCTAGCCAACTGACTGGAAGAGAACCATATTTACTCCCATTCCTTAAAAAGATAATCCAATAGAGTTTGGAAATTTTTGAATAATACTAATATCACATGCAAGCAAAATCTTGCTTAAGATTATCTAAAAACAACTGGAACAGAAAACTGTCAGAAATACAAGTTTGGTCTGGAAGAGGCAATGGCACTAGGGATATCATGACCAATGTCAGATGTATCTTGGCTGAAAGCAGACAGTATCAGAAAAATATTTATTTGTTTTATTGACTATGCAAAGGCACTTAAAGATGTGGATCACAGCAAATTGTGGCTAACATTGAGAAGAATGGGTATTCCAGTATACTTGATTGTGGTCATAGGAAACCTATACTTACTTAGACCAGGAAACAGTCATCTGAACACATCAAAGGAACACTGCATGGTTCAAAATCAAGAAAGGAATGCATCAGGGATGAGTTCTTCCTCCATATCTTTTCAGTTTATACGTGAAACAGATCATTCAGGAGGCTAGTCTTTATGAAGAATAGCATAGCGTCATTATGCAGATGACAGAGCCTCCCTTGCCAAGAATGAGGAGGAATTGAGGCATTTGCTACAGAAGGTCATCAATAAGCATTGTATTTCAACATCAAGAAAACAAAGATTCTCACCACCAGGCCAATTAGCAGCATCATGACAGATGGAGAAGAGAATGAGGTTGTAAACACTTTTATCTAGTTCAGGTCCACCAATCAACACTCTTGGCACCTGCAGTCAAGAAATAAAAAGAGGATTTGTTTTATCAAAGTCTGAGGTCAGTAACTTCTCCAGGGAGGAAAGGAGCAATGATATTAGTCTAGAGACTAAGGTGTGCCTGATCCAAGCCATGGTCTTTGCAATTACTTGCTACGTATCAGGGAGCTGGCCAATGACTAAGGATGACAGAAGTATAACTGGTGTTCTTGAGTTGTATTCCTGGGAAAGATTATTGAACATACCATGACTGGCAAGAGAACAAACAGGTCTTTCCTGGAGAAAGTGAAACCAAGTTGCTCCTTGGAGACATGAATTTTGAAACTCCATCTCACATACTTTGGCATGTTGCCAGGAGGGACCAGTCCTTGGAGAAGGGCATCATGCTTTGAAGGTTAGAGGGTTAACACAGGAGAGGAAGACCCAGGATGAGATGGATTGACACAATGAGGGAAAGTGTGTCAGAAACAGAGAGATTGGCTCAAAATAAGCACAATAAGCTATTGTGCATAGGGTCAGTATGAGTTGTAGTTGACTCAATAGCACATAATAACAACAAACAATTTAAGTGTTTCTGTATTCTGTTTAATTTATATAAACTGGTAGTTATGTACATATTCATAGATAACTTGTCAATCACACATGATTGAATACATTTAGTGGTCAAGTAAGATTAAGTGTGCTTTTGACTATTAACTAAGTAACTATCCGTCTGTTACTCTGAGTCCATTGAGAACTGTACCCTGTCTATATAATGGTTGAAACCCACACAGTAGTGACATGGAAGAAAGGCTTGCAATTTGTTTCTATAAAGAATGTTGATGTTGTTGTTGTTGTTGTTGTTGTTAGGTGCCATTGAATCTAGTATCACTCATGGTGACTCTATAATGGATATGAAACCTGTCCAATCCTATGCCATCGTCATCATCTTTGAACTACCTGACCTCAAAACTGCAGGCGGTGTGTCAATCCATCTCATTAAGGATCTTCTTCTCTTTTGCTGACTTTTCCAAGCATGATGTCCCTCTCCAAAGATTCACTCCTCCTAACAGCATGTCCAATGTATGTGTGATGAGGCTTTGCCATTCCTGCCTCTAAAGAGCATCTGATCGCACTTTCTCCAAGACTTCTATTTGTTATTTTGACAATTCATGGGATTCGTAGTACTCTTCTCCAACACCACAGCCCAAAGGCATCAATTTTTCTTTTGTCATGCATATTCGTTAGCCAGCTCCCAGATGCATAGCAAGTGATTGAGAAGACTATGGCCTGAGTTAGGCACACCTTTGTCTAGAAACTGACATCATTGCTCCCTAATACTTGGAGAGATCCTTGACAACAGACTTGCCTAGTGCAATACATCTTTTGATTTCTTTACTATTGATATAAAAATTATTGATTGTGGATTCAAGATTAGTCATTGACAATCTTTTCTCTATCTAACATTACGTTGCTTATTGGCCCAGTGGTAAGGATTTTTGTCTTCCTGATGTTGAGATGCAATCCATATTGAAGGCTGTAGACTGATCTTCTGCAGCAAGTGCTTCAAGTCCTTGCTTTCATACTTTAGACATGTTGTAAGGAGGTACTGGTCCTTGGAGAGGGGCATCATGCTTGGGAGGGTGGAGGGACGTCACAGGAGGGGAAGGTCCTCTATGAGGTGGATTGATTCAGTGACTGGGGTAATCGGGATGGGGATGTCAGAGACAGTGCGATTGGCACAGGACAGAGCAGAGTTTAGGGCTGTTGCACATAGGGTTGCTATGAGTCACAGGAGACTCGACGGCACAAAACAACAACAAGCTAGTAATGTCAAAGTGTTGGGAATTCATTGATAGAGGATTTCCTTACAGAATGTGGAGTTTCAAGGTTGAGAGACAAAAGCCCAGTTCTCGATCAGCTCAGAGTAATGAAGGAAACATCAAACACATACCATCACCCAACAGCAGAAGATGACAAATGCTTTTAGTGTACAAAACAAGAGTTCAGAGAAAGAAGCAGTCCCCTCAATCATTAAAAAGAGGAGACTTTTTCATTATAATGAAAAATGAATTTTTATACACGTTAAAATTAATGCGAAAGTTGGACAATAAATTCAGAAGACCATAGATGAATTGATGCCTTGAAATGTGGTGTTGAAGAGTATTAACTACCCCAAAGACTCCAACAGAAAAAACAAATACGTCTTGGGGGAAAAGTGCTCTTAGAGGATTTCTTAGAGGCATGGGTGGTGAAAGTTCATCTTACATACCTTGGACATGTTGTCAGGAGAAGCTAGACCTTGAAAACAGTCATCACTCCTAGAAAGGTCATTGAAAGAGGAGACCCTCAAAGAGATGAACTGACACAGTGATGACAATAGGCTTAAGCACAACAGAGATGGTGAGGACCAAACAAGGTTTTGTTCTGGTTGTTACAGGGTTATTATGAGAGGGAACCCACTCAACAGCGCCTGACCACAACAGCAAGTTTTTAAAAGTTACCATCTTAAAGAAGACAGCCATCTCGAAACTATTTCAATTTAGTGAAGTTTGAGGAAGACACCTTTTCTGATTTACCCTATATTTTAGTGAATGTGTATCTCCTGTTTCTCGGAGAAGCGAATTAATTCTATGATTAACTGCTCCGTGCTCACTACAGTGGAGAGTGAGGGGTCCCCTTGGAATAAGCTGTAAGTCCCTGTTCTCTAGTTGCTATGTACCAATCCATAGCTCACCCTCTAGTGGGTTTTCACAGGCAGTATATCACACAGGAGAAGATTCCCCATCTTTTCTTCCTCAGAGCAGCAAATGGATTCAAATGGCATATCTTTGGGTTGGCAGTGCAATTCCTTACCACTAAACCAATGTGGTTTATATATTAGTTGGGAGATCACGTAATTTACCTTAAAATACTTTATATCTTTCTGAATGAATGTTAATTTATTCATTAACCAAATACACATATATTTATTAAACAACTACCATGTGCGGCCACAAAGCTGGGTGATGGAACAGCAGAGAGTGAGGCAGATAGAACTCTTGGTGTTTTGGAGGTTTGTGTAGTAAGGAAGTGATACTGAACAAGATATAACAGGGTCACACTTGACAGGAGCTGGGGGGAGGGAGATGAATATCCTTTCCTTATCCCTGAGACATCTCATCTCATATTTTTTTTGTCTTCCCAGATCTATTAGCTAGTATATCTTGAACGTCTATTTGAAATGGGATTAAAATCCAAATTTCCCTTTTAATCATTTTCAAATTACTTAGGTTATAGATTTTCTCACATTCAAAAGCATATACAAATAACTTTACATATAATTTTCTTTGTTAAATTTCTTACTTTTTTAAAAAAAATCACTTTAAGTACTTTCAAAAAAGCAAAGAAAGGATTTACAGGAGAGCACGAATTCCTAGTTCTCTTAGTAATGAAGCGTTTCTATAACAGAAATACCACAAGAGGGTGACTTTAACAAACAGAAATGTATTCTTTCACCTTTTAGGAAGCTGGAAGTCCAAATGCATCAGTCTAGAGGAAGACTTACTTTCTCTGTGAGTCTTCAGGGAAGGGTTTTGTCCCTTGATGATCTTTGTATAGTGTGGCATTTTCCTCTACATCTGTCATCTTAATTTTTTTTTAATCTTAAGAACTTAATTGAGGCACAACAAGGCAATATGAGCAAGTGAAAGGGACTACACCTACAAAGAGCGGGTATTTCTACCTATGACCTTGTATGTACTCCAAATATAATATGGCATATAGTAAAACCAACAGAAGGTAAAGTGTAAACTTATAAACCATAACCGAACACCCTGACAGAATGAGTGCAGTGTCATACTTCAGTGAATACTTCAGGATCTTAAAGGCTTGTAAGTGATCATGGAAGGTACAACTCTTGATCTGTCTCTGTCTGGAGTAAAAAAGAGTGAAGAAAATAAAAGTCCCATAGAGATAATTACTCCATCATACTAATGATTACACACAAGTCAGAGCCTTCATGACCATGAAATCAGAGTGACTAGCTGGTGCCAGGATGAAATATATCATTATAGAGTCCCCAATAAAATAGGAAGGAAATATGGAATAAGGCTTAAAAGTATAAAAAAGAAAGAAAATAAATTCATTGACTCAAGGCATCCTACACTAATATTGCCTTATCAAAATGAAAAAGAAAACCCATTTCCAAATGCGATTCTAATCACACGTATAAGCTATTGCTAATCAAGCCATCACCTACTCAGAGTGGTATGAAAGGAACCAAATAAGATTGCCAATGGTATTTCCAAGGCTGCAATGTTTATGATAAATGTCTTGCATAAAAAGTGCAGCCAGAGTGCTCCTTGGAGGCAAAGATGACAAAGCTTCATCTCACAGATTTAGGGGATGTTGCTAGGAGAAGTCATTCATTGGAGAGTGAAATCACTCTTGGAAAGGTCAGCAAAAGAGAGGAAGACCCTCAACAAAGTGGATTGACACAGTGACTGTTGCAGTGGGCTCTAGTGTGTCAGAAAGTGTCAGGATGGCACAGGAGAGGGTTCAGATCTGTTGTTCAAAGGGTCACTATGGGTCACACTTGAGGTCGATGGCACCTAACAACAACACTGTTTATGGATGCTAACTACTACTTCTTTCTCTCACAAAATGGTTGGTGGATTAAGCCACCTGCTTAAACACTGTGTGCCAGGTTCCTTACCGCAGCTGCTGTTAATTTTTATGTCGTACAGTGGGAACCAATCCATAGCTGACCTTCAGCAGGTCTTCAGAGAGGAAGACTGCCTATCTTGCTCCTGCGGAACAGTTGGTGGATGTGAACTACATGCCTCAACAACAACAACATATATCTTTTTTTTAAATATTTTATGTTTATTTTTCAT